GGATTTACAGAAGCCGGGCTCTGATTTGATCCCGGAATGTCCTACTTTTCCTTAAAGGTAAAGGGACCCCTGGCCATTAGGTCCAGTCATGGCCGACTCTGGGATTGCGGCACTCATCTCGCTTTATTGGCCGAGGGAGCCGGCGTACAGCTTCTGGGTCATGTGGCCAGCATGACTAAGCCACTTCTGGCGAACCAGAGCAGCGCACAGAAATGCCGTTTACCTTCCCGCCGGAGCGGTACCTATTTATCTATTTGCACTGGTGTGCTTTCGAACTGCTAGGTTGGCAGGAGCAGGGACCAAGCAACAAGAGCTCATCCCATCGTGGGGATTCGAACTGGCGACCTTCTGATCGGCAAGCCCTAGGCTCTGTGGTTTAACCCACAGCGCCACCTTAGGACATCCCTATTTTCATCAGAGAAATGTTGGAGGGTACGGAGTTAAACATCCTCTGTCAAGAAGATAAGCAACTATACAACTTTTAGAATAAGGCAGCCTTGTATAGGGAAGTTTTTTAATGTTTCATGTTTTATTATGCTTTTATATATGGTGGAAGCCACCCAGACTCACTATAACGCAGCCTCCTATGTTCTGATCTTGCTTAACAGAAGAAGAACGGTGGCCTCTAGTGGACAAACAAGACACAGCAAAATGAGACAAGCCATAGAGACCAAAAGTAGGCTCTCTCCCTCGGACCATCATCATTCGTCAACCCTAGCTTCCCAGATACTGTCGGACTACAACTCCCATCATCCCTTGCCACAGGCTAAGCTGGCTGGATTTGATGGCAGTTGCAGTCTTTTAATCTTGCCTTAACTGTATTTGCTGCTTTTGTGTTTTCAGCAGCTTTTATTTGTCTTTTGCAGAAATTCCCTCGATAAAAGATATTTAGAAGGCAATGGATAAACCATCGACGGACCCCAGAACTTGATCACCCCTGTTAGGAGGCAAGGGAAACTCTCCAACGTTTTACTATTGTTTTGTGAATCTCTTATGAATCTACCAGCAGAAAACAGGGTAAAAGAAGAAACTGTTTTTCACAATTGTGTCGCCATGCACTCACTTGCTCGGTTGGGAAAAGCGTGTTGATGTACTCCACGGCGTTGAAGTCAGCTCGGTCCAACGGATCTTGACTCGGAAAAACCTAGGGGTCAAGAAAAGGAACGGAAGTGACTATTATTAACTGTGTTAGTTGTTTATCTTACGAAAGAGCCTGTATGGCGTGGAGTGTTGGACTATGACCTGGGAGACACTGGGGTTCAAATTCCCGCTTGGCCATAAAACTCACTGGGTGGCCCTGGGCAAGTCATATTGCCTCTCAGCCTAACGTACCTCAGAGGGTTTTTGTGGGCATTAAATGAGAGAGAGAACCTTGAGCTCCTTGGAGAAAAAGATGGGACTATAAATGAAATAAATAAATGTGACTTACATTAAAACCTCAAACCATAGCAATTCAAATAAAAGACGAAAAGGAACACAGCGACACACACGCTGTGCCAAAAACAACCAATGTCCCGCACCATGGTAAAAACAAGAGAGGCTGTGCAGTGGTTTGTGGGGTGTGGATCACATTCCTTCCTTCCTTGGTTATGGAGAGAGGCTGGAAGACAGGGTTCAGGATCCCACCCTGGCCTGCACAGAGGCTGCTTCAGGCTCCCCTACCTCTCCCTCCGTCCTTCCCAAATTCTGCTTCACCAGCAAAATCTTCTCCAATCCAGCTCAGCCTCACCTTACTGACTCCTGCATCATGCAAACACGTTCCCCCTATCGGCTTCCAATCCCAGTGCCCTCCTGTCCCTCCTAATCTTGAATCACTACGCGTTTGTTTTGAATGGTATGGGTTGTTTGGTGCATCTTGTTTGTTTCCCCTTACAGTGGTGCCCCGCAAGACGAACGCCTCGCAAGACGGAAAACCCGCTAGACGAAAGGGTTTTCCGTTTTTTGATGCGCTTCGCAAGACGAATTTCCCTATGGGCTTGCTTCGCAAGACGAAAATGTCTTGTGAGTCTTGCCATTCCCCCCCCCCCCGCTTTCCCCCCTGTTTTTCTAAGCCGCTAAGCCGCTAATAGCCTTTTAGCAGCTCAGCCGCTAAGCCTTTAATAGCCGCTAAGCCGCTAAACCGCTAATAGCGCTAATCCGCTGAGCCGCTAATGGGGTTGCTTCGCAAGACGAAAAAACCGCTAGACGAAGAGAATCGCGGAACTAAGACCCAAAGCAGGTTCTGTCTGTTTTAATGGGGAATGGTCCTTAAACGCATTCCGCTCCCTGCTTTTTATCTGACCAAGTTAATGCAGCCAGGTCGCACTGACCTCCCTTAGCATTTAAAATCTTCACTCTGCAACCATTGCGTCAACCTTTGGGTGGGGGGAGTCAACCTTTGGGGGCGCATCTGCAAACTGAATTCTTTGGCTGCATGCGTGTCACGCCCATGGCAAACTCTCTCCCCTCCCCTGTTCGAAACACACATACAAAGCGTCTGTAACCCGAGGTACCACTGTACAGTCATAACTCGGGTTGAATGCGCTTCTGGTTGAGCATGTTTGAGTTGTGCTCCGCGGAAACCCGGAAGTAACGGAGTGCATTACTTCCGGGTTTCGCCGCTTGTGCGTATGCAGACGCTCAACATGATGTCACGCGCATGCACAGAAGCGGTGAAAAGCGACGTGAGTGTGCGCAGACGTGCCTTCGCTAGTTATGTTTGCTTCTGGATGCGAACGGGGCTCCAGAACGGATCCCATTCGTATACAGAGGTACCACTGTACACACAACCCAGTTGCTCCCTGAGCCACAATTTAATAAATAATCACAATACTAATGTACACAATGACAAACCTGGACAGAATCTTAAAAAGCAGAGACATCACCTTGCTGACAAAGGTCTGTATAGTATAGTACTATGGTTTTCCCAGTAGTGATGCATGGAAGTGAGAGCTGGACCATAAAGAAGGCTGATCGCCAAAGAATTGATGCTTTTGAATTATAGTGCTGGAGGAGACTGTTGAGAGCTCTGGTCCAGGGGCCACGAAGAGGCGGACACGACTAAACAACAATACTAATGTACATCACCTTGAGCTCAATACAGTGGTACCCCACAAGACGAACACCTCGCAAGACGGAAAACCCGCTAGACGAAAGGGTTTTCCGTTTTGGAGGCGCTTCGCAAAACAAATTTCCCTATGGGCTTGCTTCGCAAGACGAAAGCCCATAGGGAACGCCTCCTCCCGCCGCCCGGCATCCGAACGAAGCTCCGATGCCGGGCGGTGGGGCGGGAACGCCTCCTCCCGCCGCCCGGCATCGGAACGAAGCTCCGATGCCGGGCGGCGGGGCGGGAACGCCTTCTCCCGCCGCCCGGCTTCGGATGGCTTTCCTGAAGACTTGGGGTGGGAGGAGGGTTTTCCTTCCCACCGCCAACATTCAGAACGCTGTTCTGAATGTTGGCGGTGGGGAGGAAAAACCCTCCTCCCACGCAAGCCCCGGGAACAGAGGGAAAGCGCTGCGCGCCTTCCCCTCTGTTCCCGTACCTGTCCTGAAGGCTTGCGGTGGGGAGAAAAGCCCTTCTCCGCACCGCCAGCCTGGCAAGCGGTTTCCCTAGGAACGCATTAATTGATTTTCAATGCATTCCTATGGGAAACCGTGCTTCGCAAGACGAAAAACTCGCAAGAAGAAAAAACTTGCGGAACGAATTAATTTCGTCTTGCGAGGCACCACTGTATATCAATCAATCAAAATGTTTATTCGGCTTTACGCCCATCATGAAACACAACACAACAAAACAAATCAAAACAAATCAAATCAAATAAAACAGCGGACTTGTACAAGCCACAAGTAGTATAACACAGTTCTCAACTCACAAGGACAGATATTAGCCATTCATAAGAAAAGATTAAGATTAAGATTAAAAAAAAATTAGGCACTACACTAAAATCAATATCTGATGTCATTATAGAAAATTCTAATAACTATCAATAATCAGCTAACATTCCATTCCGTCTCTTGTACGAGAGGACGGCTGTTAGGAATTTAGCAACCTGTAGGGTAATATAAGGATCCACATCTTGAAGAACCCAGGCCAGTTGTAGGTCTACTGATTTGTCAGCCATAGGCTGGATTGAGCTCAATATATAAAAAGGGTGGGATATAAATGCAGCAAATAAATAAGAAACTGCTGCCCTATGGATAGTGGGGTCTCCTATCCAGCAGCCTGTCATTCAACCAGCACTTGACCCCCTCCCCAAAATATTTTTTTTCATGGTAAATCTGGTTTAAAATACAGATGTAAATGATCATTTACAACGAAGATAAGTATAGAAAAATTCAATACAGAAGAAAAAAACATCACGACCCCCCCCCAAAAAAGCAGCACCCCCACAACGTCCCTCTCCTCAAAGACACCCAAATAGACCCCCCTCAATTTAAGGCAGCCCCCCCACTCCCTACAGCCCCTCCCCACACAGAACCCCCATATTAGCATACAGAGCCCCGCCCCTTACTCACACTTCACCCAATCGCTTTGGAGATACAGGCGCCTCCTCCCACCACAAAGCCCCATATTAGCATACGTAGCGCCGCCTCCTTACACTCCGTCCAATCGCTGAGGGGCTACGGGAGCCCCGCCTACCCCGAACTCCCACATTAGCATGCACAGCCCCGCCCCCTTTCCCTCACCTTCTCCCGCCCGGGTCTCCCTCACCTGCTCGATGGCCAGCTGCACCTCCGGCGCCAGCTGCAGGGCGGCCTCCAGCTCGTCGGCCAAGTCCAGCTCGTCCTCCTCCATCCCGGCCTGCCCCGCGACGCTCGACTAGCCACCCGCCTCCTCTCTTCTTCTCTCTCTCGCTTGAGGGAAAGCGCGCCACTTCCGGGAACGGCGGCATTCTGGGATGCTGGAGGACCGCGCGGAGGGAGGGCGAATGGGAGCAGCCATTGGGGAAGGAGGGGGCGGGGCGAGATGGCGCCACGCCCACTCCGACCCCCTCCCTCCTGGGGGCGGGGATTCCTCGGAGTTTTCCTTTTTCTCAATGGGTGCTTGAGACTCCGCGAGATTCTTGGAGCGGTGAGGGAAATGTCTGCGTACTTTTTATTTAAAAAATACATAAACGTTTTATTTAAGCTTTTTACAAGTCAAACACTATCAAGAAAAAAGTGAATGGTCGCTATACGAAATTACAGAGTGCTTGCCTTTCTTTTCCGTTGGTGCGAGAATACTTTCATATACTTATTTAAAAGCATTTCTGAGCCCCTTAATATTTTTTGATGCATATGCATATATGACAGCCAACAGCGTTTCTGAGCATGGGCAGAGTGCCATTCAGCTCAAGCTGGGGGAAACACTTTTTTAAAAAGGGTTTGCTTGGTTTTTTAAAGTCCATTTGTTTTCAAAGATATGGTGATTTAAGCATATGCTTTGTAACTTTTCCCATTAAGAATCATTTCTTTTGACTCACGCATTTGTATGTTTGCAGATCCAGGTGTACTTATGAATCATGGGCTTCCCAAGTATTCAGAGACCTGCTGTTATTAATCTTATTGATGTTGCCAACAGAGTTCTTGTAACTGATATTTACAATTATCATAGCTGTTAATAATAATAATAAAGTACAATTAATAACAACTGATGGCATCTGATTGGCCACCGTGAGACCAGGATTCAGGGCTAGATGGGACACTGGCCTGATCCAGGCCGTCTTCCTTACATTCTTCTCAGCTTCTTGCATCAGCTATGAACAGGATAATTCAACGCCCGTGTAATGAGCATGGTATGCTGCATTGCGTGTGGCATCACTTCGCGAGATGAGGACAATAACAAATGGGAACAACAACAAAATGTTGCAGCGTTCCACCTCTTAAGCAGGAGCGGACCTACTAAAAGGCCAGCCAGTCATGCCCTCCCCATAAAGAAGACTGACGGAGAGGGACAAAAATGGGGTTCTGAAGATGGGACGGTGGGGCTGGGAGACTAAACCCTCTGACACATATCACCCCCAGTTCCGCCCACCAGCTGCCTCTTAAGAAACAAAAAAAGCCACCCTCTCAATAGCCAGACATGGCAGATTAAGCTTCTGTTCCTTGCCTAAGAGAGAGGTGCTTCTGTGTATATGCAATATTCTGTGGGTGTGCAGAGGTGGGGTGCTTGGAGATGGTCAGGAAAGTTAAGAAGGAGGCTTGTTTCTTCATATTAGATGAGGACAACCTGTTGGATCATGTTACAAAACAATTAAGGTCTCAAATATATAATAAATATTCATTAATATTTTTAATATTTAATGCTGTATTGTTTTTAACATTCAATTGGAAGCCGCCCAGAGTGGCTGGGGAAACTCAGCCAGATGGGCGGGGTATAAATAAATTATTATTATTATTATTATTAACACACACATATCTAAATATATGAACCATGTGTCTGAAATAGTAAGGGAGAGCAATCCTGAAGCCATTTTGACTCTCTCAATGACCTCAAATATTCCTCTGCAGTAAGGGAGAAAGCCTTCCCATTGTCTTTTTGCTTGCAAATCCTGTCTTAAGGGCAAATTTGTGTCTGAATAGGGTGAGCCTGTGACCTGGACTCAGGAACTATTAACCATCACAAAAGAATTGCCGGACTGCCCAGGTAATGCAATCAGTGACCATTATCAGGTGTCCTGGCGGGCAGGATTTCTGCCTCCTTCTGTGATGTATGTATGATGTTTTGAGGGATGGTGGTCTTGGGCTACAGGGCGGGCAATTTCAAAAGTCTATATAAGGGATATAAGAGAGTGCAAAATATGGTCTGAAGCTCAACATCAAAAAAACGAAGATCATGGCCACTGGTCCCATCACCTCTTGGCAAATAGAAGGGAAGAAATGGAGGCAGTGAGAGATTTTACTTTCTTGGTCTCCATGATCACTGCAGATGGTGACAGCAGTCATGAAATTAAAAGACGCCTGCTTCTTGGGAGGAAAGCAATGACAAACCTAGACAGCATCTTAAAAAGCAGAGACATCACCTTGCCGACAAAGGTCCGTAGAGTTAAAGCTATGGTTTTCCAGTAGTGATGTATGGAAGTGAAAGCTGGACCATGAAGAAGGCTGATCGCCGAAGAATTGATGCTTTTGAATTATGGTGCTGGAGGAGACTCTTGAGAGTCCCATGGACTGCAAGAAGATCAAACGCATCCATTCTTAAGGAAATCAGCCCTGAGTGCTCACTGGAAGGACAGATCCTGAAGTTGAGGCTCCAATACTTTGGCCACCTCATGAGAAGAGAAGACTCCCTGGAAAAGACCCTGATGTTGGGAAAGATGGAGGGCACTAGGAGAAGGGGACGACAGAGGACGAGATGGTTGGATAGTGTTCACGAAGCTACCAGCATGAGTTGGACCAAACTGCGGGAGGCAGTGGAAGACAGGAGTGCCTGGCGTGCTCTGGTCCAGGGGGTCACGAAGAGTCGGACACGACTAAACGGCTAAACAACAACATGGACAGTGCCGAAAGTCTTTACTTTCAACACATCTTTGTTCTGGGTAGTTCACCTCCTTGCAAGGGGGTGGAGGGACTCTGTTGCAACAGAAAAATAAAGATCTGCCTTGCTTTCACTGGATTTTGCCTCCATCCATTCTTCTCTGGCCAATCATGGACTTTGGGGATTCAGTCCCTTAGGCAACTGGGCCAACCTTTAATTTTTCTGCAACAGCCATGATGGCTTCGTTCTGCCTGCTCCACTTTCAGAGGCAATAGGCCTCTAAATCACAAGCAGGGAGAGTTGCTGTGGCCCCAGGTCCTGCTTGGGGGCATCTGGGGGCCACTGTGAGAACAGGTTCCTGGAATATATGGGCTCCCTTTGACCCTGTTCCTGCAGCCAAGCTCTTCCAATTCCCTTACGCCACAGCTATGATTGCTCTTACTGCTTCTGGTATTTGCCTGTACGTGTTGTTTTTTTCAAAAACCAAACACCTCACATTGCTCCAGGGAGACGTCTCTTTATAGAAAATTTCCAAATACATCCAGCTGCTTCGTGCAAGCCCTCACATGCCGCACAATAACCTTTGGCGAAGTTACAGCTCCGGTAGCTACAGAAGCACCTTGCTCCACCTTGAACCAGACAGAGGGCCTTCTCGGTAGTGGCGCCCGCCCTGTGGAACGCCCTCCCTTCAGATGTGAAGGAAATACCTAAGCAGTTATCTTCTCTTTAAAAGACATCTGAAGGCAGCCCTGTTTAGGGAAGTTTTTAATATTCAATGCTGTATTGTTTTTAACACTTGATTGGAAGCTGCCCAGAGTGGCTGGGGAAACTCAGCCAGATGGGTGGGGTATAAATAATAAATTATTTTTTATTATTATTATTATTATATTATTATTATTATTATTATTATTATTACAAACCTTTTCTCTGTTTCAGAATCTGGAACTGGCCTCCCTCTGCCGACAAGGGTTGCCAGCGTCTTAACCAAACACTGCTCTTCTGCCTTTGTGAGTACTTTGATCTCAGTGGCGTTGCAGCAAATTCTGAAGTGTAGGGACTCGCCGTGGCAGCTTATTATAATTTAATACTACTACTAATAATTTATTATTTATACCCCACCTATCTGGCTGGGCTTCCCCAGCCACTCTGGGTGGCTCCCCCAAAAAATTTAAAAACACAATAAAACATCAAACATTAAAAGCTTCCCTAAAGAGGGCTGCCTTCAGGTGTCTTCTAAAAGTCAGATAGTTGTTTATCTCCTTGACATCTGATGGGAGGGCGTTCCACAGGGCGGGCGCCACCACCAAGAAGGCCCTCTGCCTTGTTCCCTGTAACCTCACTTCTCGCAGGGAGGGAACCGCCAGAAGGCCCTCTGCACTGGACCTCAGCATCCAGGCTGGACGATTGGGGTGGAGACGCTCCTTCAGATATACTGAGCCAAAGCCTTTTAGGGCTTTAAAGGTCAGCACCAACACTTTGATTTGTACTCTGAAACGTACTGAGAGTCAATGTAGGTCTTTCAAGACCAGTGTTATATGGTCTTGGCGGCCGCTCTGCATTATTATTTTTATTTATGTATATATATTCAACTTATATCCCGCCCTTCCTCCTCAAGGAGCCCAGGGCAGGAAGCGTGTTGGTGATTAAAACTTAAGAACAAAGCCAATTGTTTGCTCTCGCAGTTAATAATTGCAGGTTGCCAGGAACAATGTCTTTCAGTTAGGAAATGCCCTGTGAGCAAACAGGAATGTTTTTAGATTCATCCTAGAAGTGGAGAGAGGGAGAGAGACCTCAAATATATAGCCTCTCGCACATACCCCAAGGATGCTCTGAAAAATTAAGGCAGCTGTATTTATCGGTTATCATTCACACACACTCCCCAAAACAGCAGTAAGGCCTCACAATACCCAGCGGTTATTAGGATCAGCACGACTGCAATCTCCTGGGAGTTGGTGGTGTTTACTTATTCAACTCGTAAAACACATTTGAGCTTTGACAGAAGAGCTTCAGTCTGACGAAATGCAACCTTTAGCTTTTAATGAGAAATGCAAAGGGTCTTGCAAAGAAGCGTTACCATCTGAGCAGCTGGTGTGAAGTAGGAACCACATTAAAGAAAAGAAAAAGTCGTACCTAGCCTCTGCTTGATTCTTTTTTCCTCACTCTCTGACCCTATGCTAATCTGCCACAAATGAACTTGGAAACGTCATTATCTCTGCATTCAGTTGCCAAGGCAAGGGGGTCCGTCAATTAGCCTGGCATGCCAGCCCATATTACTTTCTGGGCCCACATTCCCCCTCCACTACAACACAGCTTCTCATCTCCTGAAATTAGCATGTTTCTCTCCATTCAGGGATATGCTTCGCAGAGCAGAAACACGTTGTCTGTGGTCTCTCTTGGCTCCTAAGCTATCGCCCCAAGCAGATCTGTAACCTGGGGGAGTAAAGACTCATAGAGACCCAGAACCAGCAGATTTACTCCTTTAGTAAATCCCAGAGTATGAGTTTTAAGTCAGGAATCAGGAGAGATAAAGGTAGATAATGGCTAAATGCATTGAGCCCTCTACCAGTAGTTTATTAAGATGTGTCATGATATACAGCAACAACAATAAATAATGATGTAAACCAGGCACCCCCAAACTCAGCCCTCCAGCTGTTTTGGACTACAACTCCCATCATCCATGACCACTGGTCCTGTTAGCTAGGGATGATGGGAGTTGTAGTCCCAAAACAGCTGGAGGGCCGAGCTTGGGGACGCCTGATGTAAACCAACCGTTTCCAACTCAGTGCCCTACAGATGTTGATGGACTACAATTCCCTTCATCCCTAACTATTGGCCACAACGGCTGATGGGATTTGTAGTTGAAACCATCTGGAGGGCACCAGGTTGGACAAGGCTGATCTGAATGAAGGAGCACAACAATCACTAAAAATAATAAGTCTCTTTGGCTGGTACAAAACTGTCTGAAGGAAAGTCATTCCAGGTCAATGTAGTTTGGGGAATCTGATCCTCCAGTCAACTGGAAATTATTCAAAACAAAATCCTCAAAATTACTTGGTTTTCCCACTGGCAGCTAGTATTAAAGCGGAGACTGGAATTGTGCCCGTACAGTCTTCTACAGTAAGAGCTGTTCGACAGTGGAATTTGCTGCCAAGGAGTGTGGTGGAGTCTCCTTCTTTGGAGGTCTTTAAGCAGAGGCTTGACAACCATATGTCAGGAGTGCTCTGATGGTGTTTCCTGCTTGGCAGGAGGTTGGACTCGATGGCCCTTGTGGTCTATTCCAACTCTATGATTCTATGATTCTATTTTAATGGTTTTGTTTATGTATTGTTTTAAACTTCTTAATATGGAAGCTGCAGCTGCACAGAGAGACTACTTGGGTAGCAAAATGTGAAGAGCAAATGTTTGCTTTTGATATACTTCTGCAGGTTCTTAAAAACAGGCCCTCACTCAGACACACACACACACATATATATATATAATAAGCTGGGTTATTTCTATGCTCAGTGAGATCTACAAGCATTCCATAAACCGTTCTTGTCACAGTTACATTTTCTTAAATTATCACATGGATTTGAGATTTACCTACATGATTTACTGGTTAGTTTGTTTAGAAAGCATTTCTGGCTTTGCGGCTTCAGATGACGCCGTCAGAATATTTAGAGGCACATTGCAGAAAAAATTCCAGTAGAACAGGAGTGATGTTTAGTGCCCAAGCAGCCGAAGATCTTTATCATCATTTATACACCGCTTCTTGTATTCTGAACCAAGGGCAAAGCTTTTTTTCTGACATAGTTAAGATGCCTGATGGTGATGATCAAACAGAAGTCACATATTTGTTGTCTGATTCTGACAAATTCGTGACAGACAGTTACACGATTTGCAGTGGGGGCCCAAAAGCTGATGATAAATGTTATTGAGCCTTGTATGCTAAATTACAATGGTTTAATTGGATGATTTGATTTTTTTAATTATCTGGATGCTTTTGGATGTATTAGTTCTGTTAACCATTTGTATTTCAAAATATATTTGACTTTATACTTTTTAAACTTTTTCGTACCTATTTTAAGATGTTGTTGTTGTTGTTTAAATGTAAAGACATATTTTGGTCAACACTGTTTTTCAATATTGTACCAGTGTATAGAGGTGTATACTCGGAAACTACAACTAATCCAGAATGCGGCAGCTAGACTGGTGAGTGGGAGCGGCCGCTGAGACCACATAACACCGGTCCTGAAAGACCTACATTGGCTCCCAGTACGTTTCCGAGCACAATTCAAAGTGTTGGTGCTGACCTGGAAAGCCCTAAACGGCCTCGGCCCAGTGTACCTGAAGGAGCGTCTCCACCCCCATCGTTCTGCCCGGACACTGAGGTCCAGCTCCAAAAAGGGAGTTCCCTCATTGCGAGAAGTGAAGTTACAGCGAACCAGACCGATGGCCTTCTTGGTAGTGGTGCCCGCCCTGTGAAACACCCTCAAAGAAATTAACAGCTATCTGACGTTTATAAGACATCTGAAGGCATCCCTGTTTAGGAAAGTTTTTAATGACTGATGTTTCAATGTATTTTTAATCTTTTGTTGGAAGCCGCCCAGAGTGGCTGGGGAAACCCAGCCAGATGGGCGGGGTATAAATAAATTTTGTTGTTGTTGTTGTTTGTGCCTCTGCTGGGTCACCTTGTTGTTGTTGTTAATTGAATTTATAATAAATAAATTCAATGCTCCTTCTGGGGTCATTTGTCCACCTTTGGTTGCCCCCACCCTGCTCTCATCTCTCACCTGTGGCTCCTGGAAGCTGTCAGCATTCGGCAGCAGCAACATCCCAGGAAATGGCTTCAAACTGGCTGGCTCGACCAGGTGAGGGTAGCTAGTAGGGACTCAAACCCTCGGTGAATTAGGGAGTTTGTCTGCGTACAAAGACAGGCTCCTGCGGAATGAATGGACAAGAGCAATAGTGGGTCCATCCGTCAAGACCAAGAAGGCTGTTTCTGCCCCTGCTGTGGAGGGAAGTGAGGGGCAGATGGGGCTCACCCACCTGGGAAGGGAGCCCATCTTGGAGAAGGGAGATCCTAAACCTCCACTGCCTTGCAGGATATATTTGGGAGAAGAAAAGGCTAAGGAGTAAACCCTACACACATTCAGAGTGGGGTCCCTAAGACGGTTGGATGGTGCCTTGTACGCCTCTTTCCACCAACCCCTGCAGCCAAACTGGCACCCAACATCTCGCTCTGCTTTTCCTTGGACCACATCAGCGAGGCTGAGAGGGGGGTTTTGTCATCTGGGCAGCCCAGCACCCCCAGACACCCTGCCCAGACTTGCACCCCAGGGAGGTCACTTCACTGCTGCTAGCACGGCAATCTGACTTCACCCCCGAAGGCAGACTCCATTGTCTCTGGAGACAGACGGATGCCAACGACAACCAGAGTACAGTGGTACCTCAGCTTTCATACACTTCAGGTTACAGACTCCGCTAACCCAGAAATAGTACCTCGGGTTAAGAACTTTGCTTCAGGATGAGAACAGAAATTGTGCTCTGGCGGCAGCAGGAGGCCCCACTAGCTAAAGTGATGCTTCAGGTGAAGAACAGTTTCAGGTTAAGTATGGCCCTCCGGAACGAACTAAGTACTTAACCTGAGGTACCACTGTATAGGATTATTATTTCCTGCGGTTGCTATGACCATGATGGTCAAGATGACAACAGCAACCTAGGACCTCCAGATGGTGTTGGACTACATTTCACGTCATCCCTGTTATAGGAAAAACTGCTCCCTTTTGCTTATGGGGTATTCCAGAGCCCGTAAGTGGGTTCCCTATTGGTAGGAGAAATAATAGAGGCCAACCAGAGAATATTGAGAAGCAAAGCGGCTAGTAAGCCTGATCTTTTTTAAAGGAACTGTTGAAACAGAGTCCCCACTCACCACACGCAGGAGGGAGGAGGAACCCAGAACAATGGTGTGCAAGCCCTTATATAGGTTTTTGAAATTGGCCACTCTGTAGCCCAAGACCACTGCCCAAAACATCATACATACAACACAGAAGGAGGCAGAAATCCTGCCCGCCGGGGCACCTGATAATGGTCACTGATTGCATTTCCTGGGCAGTTTGGCCATTCTTTTGTGATGGTTAATAGTTCCCGAGTCCTGGTCACAGGTTCACCCTATTCATACACAAATTCGCCCTTAAGACAGGATTTGCAAGCAAAAAGACAATGGGAAGGCTTTCTCCCTTACTGCAGAGGAATATTTGAGGTCATTGGGAGAGTCAAAATGGCTTCAGGATTGCTCTCCCTTACTATTTCAGACACATGGTTCATATCTTTAGATAAGTGTGCGTTTATGAATATTTATTCTATATCTGAGACCTTAAAATTCTTATAACACTGACCATTGGCTAAGCTGGCCAATTTCGATGGACGGTGAGAGATGTAGTCCAGGAGGTTTATTGTTCTTATCTTGTATTTTGTGTCTGTATACTTTATCTTATGTTGTGAACTATCCTGAGATCTACATATGAAAGGTGGAATACAAATTTAATTGATGATGGTGATAGTGATGATAAATCTTGGAAGCCAAGGTGGAGGAAGACTGTGTTAGATTGCCAGGTCAGTTCAGCTGCTCTCTTGAAGCAACTGAGTAAATCATTAAATTTGGCCACTTAATTCATACACATCTGGCTCTGCCTGCAGATGTTGAGGACTGAACCTGGGATGTCCCTGTCCTGAAGCAATAATTAAAAAAAAAAAGAGTGAAATATTTCAGGCACACCCATCACATCTCACCACTCACGTTTCCAGTCCCGATTGGATAAATTAATATTCTTGGAATGTAGTTTCCTCTTTGTTGGTGTTCCCATGGTGTTCCTGAGTCAAAGATGGCTTTGCAGCTGGGTGTGTACTAATTCAGGGCAATTAGGACCTGCCTTCTTATTGACATGTTTGTTTCCATTTAAGGAGGGAAGAAGGCAGTTTGCAGCTATTTCAAGTGGGGAGGAAGGGTGGAGGTAGGAAATGAAAATAAACTAATTAGAAAGACATGTCTGGCTTTATCACATCTGCTCAAGAACTATATGGGATGTGAAGGAGGGCTGAAATTGTCGTGTCTGGGCCCTAGGTTAAAACCTCCACCACTGTTTTCCTTTCCAGAATATTATCAGTGGGTGGGAGTTAAGAGTGCACTAACATTAGCCGGAAAATTGTAAGTGAGTGGGAATCACTCACGTCCCTAACCAAGTTTTTGTGCCGCGGAGATTTCTGCTGTAATCAGGTTTGAATAATTGCAACTAATTACAGTGGTACCTTGGGTTACATACGCTTCAGGTTACAGACTCAGCTAACCCAGAAATAGTACCTCGGGTTAAGAACTTTGCTTCAGGATGAGAACAGAAATCATGCTCCAGCAGCGCAGCAGCAGCAGCAGCAGGAGGCCCCATTAGCTAAAGTGGTGCTTCAGGTTAAGAACAGTTTCAGGTTAAGAACGGACCTCCGGAACGAATTAAGTACTTAACCCGACGTACCAGTTCTGGGCACCAGAACTGTGGTTCCAGTTCTGGGCACCACAGTTCAAGAAGGACACTGACAAACTGGAACGTGTCCAGAGGAGGGCAACCAAAATGGTCAAAGGCCTGGAAACGATGCCTTATGAGGAACGGCTAAGGGAGCTGGGCATGTTTAGCCTGGAGAAGAGGAGGTTAAGGGGTGATATGATAGCCATGTTCAAATATATAAAAGGATGTCGTATAGAGGAGGGAGAAAGGTTGTTTTCTGCTGCTCCAGAGAAGTGGACACGGAGCAATGGATCCAAACTACAAGAAAGAAGATTCCACCTAAACATTGGGAAGAACTTCCTGACAGTAAGAGCTGTTCGACAGTGGAATTTGCTGCCAAGGAGTGTGGTGGAGTCTCCTTCTTTGGAGGTCTTTAAGCAGAGGCTTGACAACCAGATGTCAGGAGTGCTCTGATGGTTTTTCCTGCTTGGCAGGGGGTTGGACTCGATGGCCCTTGTGGTCTCTTCCAACTCTATGATTCTATGATTCTATTCTATGATTCTACCACTGTATTCCTGCACAGGTTTCTTTTAGGGGGTGGGTGGGAGTCGGGTACCTGGCTTATCATATATTTAGACCAGGGATATGGAAGCTGTGGCCTTCCAGCTCCCATCAGCCCCAGCCAATGGTCAGGGGTGATGGTAAATGTAGCCCGACTGCAGGTTCTCTCCCCCCCCAAAAAAAAACCTCAGCAAAAATGCACATTTTTTAGTGATCAATGTTTCTTAAAAAGCCACTGCAGAGAACAAATTCCATCAAGCTGTGCTGGCTCAGCCTGATGGGAGATGTAGTGCAAAACACCCTGAGGGCACCCAGTTGGGAATGGCTGGCATCTATGTGCCACTTAAGCCCTTTTTATATTCCTTATTCTGTTGGCTTTCGCCCCCCAGCCTGTGGACGCATTCAAAGGGCCCGTTTGAAAAAAGCTCAAGTTGCTAGACCTCAAGATGCAGGAGTCCTCTCTTGTCCCTATCCCAGTGAGACCCAAGAGACAGTCACTTGTGAAATGGACTGGAGTGTTTGTGTAGCTGATAAGGACGCCTAGTGAAAGCTAGTAGAAGAATTGCCATAGCTCCACTATGACCCGGAAAGACAGCTTTAAGATGATTAAGACTATTGGTCCATGTAGCTCAGTACCATTGACACTGACTGGCAGAAGTTCTCTGGGTTATCAGACGGGATATTCCCACCCCCCCCACAACAGCCTTGGTGAAGGCCAGCGCTCATAGGCTTTGTTGTCCAAAATATCTGGAAGGCGTCAGGTTGCGCAAGGCCTAGGTAAAGGTAAAGGGGCCCCTGACCATTAGGTCCAGTCGTGGCCGACTCTGGGGTTGCAGCGCTCATCTCGCTTTATTGGCCGAGGGAGCCGGCGTACAGCTTCCGGGTCATGTGGCCAGCATGACTAAGCCGCTTCTGGCAAACCAGAGCAGCGCACGGAAACGCCGTTTACCTTCCCACCGGAGCGGTACCTATTTATCTACTTGCACTCTGACATGCTTTCGAACTGCTAGGTAGGCAGGAGCAGGGACCGAGCAACGGGAGCTCACCCCGCCACAGGGATTCGAACTGGCAACCTTCTGATCGGCAAGTCCTAGGCTCTGTGGTTTAACCCACAGCGCAACCCGCGTCCCTTGCGTAAG